GGATATCACACATATTATCTCGTACGTATATGGAAAAAAGGGCCGCCTTCATCATCATCATCATCGCATAGCGGCAACAGCGTCAGTGGTGTGTGTACGTGTGCGCTGGGGCCTCATGAATATGCATTCAGCTTGGAGAGGGAGAACACCTCGATGCAATATATTATATAGATATGCAGTAACGTAGGGCCCGTCAACCTGCGTAACGTGCGTTGCTCTCAATTTGTCACACACCATGGCATTATCTCGTTCTGTTTTAATAAAGCGGTATTACGTATTACCACCGCCCTCGAAGGCCAAAGTATACGGCCATCACCTGGACCTAACTGCCTGAGAGTGTTTGCACTCCTAAAACGTGTTCATCGCGAGGCGAGACGAGCTGTGTGTTATGGTAAAGAAGTGCCTTTTTTACATGCAAGTCACGAGCGTGCGCAACCCGTAACAGGAGTGATCGTTTTATCGTTATTACTTGATGATGTCCTTATTATTATTACTTTCAAGAGATTGGGATGAGCAAAGTGTTGGGTTAACGAGGGAATATTGATCATTTAGGGCTGATTTGTGATTTTCGAAGCTGCAATTTATCATTTTTTAGATAAATGGCCCTTGTTATTTAATTTTTATTGAAACTAATTTATTGCGTGCTCTCATCCCATTGAGCCTTAATAGAAGGAATCTCGTGGTAAGAAAAGAAGGACTTTGAAAATTGTTTTAAAGCGAAATGTCTCGGCTAACTTCTGCAGTGGGACATTAGGAGTCATATTCCAAAGTATCTTTAAAATTTGTTTCGGGTAAGTTAGAGACCCGTAATTAGACAACAAAGTATTTATGAAAATACAATTTTGGCACCTACACCGGGATCACCTGATTATCCATTCGACGAAAACTTGTAATGTACGTACACGCATGTATGCGTATTAATACCTATATTTCACGTCCTGTGACACCCAATGTGCCTTTTTGCGAGATAATGGCACGAACATGGCGCGACGGTCAGAATTTAAATGGAACAAGAGCGTAACAGAAAGAGACTCTTTCGATTTCTCGTTCCTTTTCCTTTTTCGCCACCAAAGCTCACCACTTACAAGCATATATCGATGAAAAGGCAGATAAGCCGATATACGGTACTGCCGACTGCGTTGATGGTGTTAAAACCCCACAGATAATTTATCATGCGTACAGTTTACGCAGCGCACGCATCGATTTCTGTTACAGTTTTTCGTATACGTGCGTTTAGTAACTCCCGTCGCGGCTCTTTTGTCATAACGCAAGTGTGTTTTTTAGACTTTTCAAATCGGAAAAGGAAGTTGACAAGATGAGTCGAACCGTGAGAACTTTATTATTTTCCAATAGTACGCGTACCGAGCGAGAAAAATTAATTTTCATAGGTACACGTGGAATCAGCATGATTAGAATCTTCTTCGACTCGGGGAAAATAATATTTTAACGCGATACGCGTCTGTTCGCTGGATTTCTTTTAGGAATTTGCTAATCATTATTTTAATGGCAAAAATACACTCGCGCATGGACACTGGAAACATCACCTTTACATTAAAATTCTTGAGATCCTATCGAACTTAAAGAGAACTTGGCTGCCGTTAATTTATTCGGCGTCTCTGCCGCTTGCTAATTAATAAAACTGAACGTACATTATACATGTGTGTGTATATATGTTTTGCGAAACCCTCGCGAGCCAAGTATCGAAAAAGCTGCGCCGTAAGTGATCAACAAATTAAGATTATTAATTTCTATTGCGCGCATGCCTTCGGTGCATTTATCGGCAGCGTGTATCGCGACGCTGCTTCGGTCCGATTTGCACTTGAAAAAACTACGGGACGAAAAATCGAAGAAGCCCAAGAGGAAGTCGTATGCTCGTTTTTGCATGTAGTTCTAATAAAAAAAAATAAAAAATAAATAATAATAATAATAAATAAAAAAGCAAATCTATCTGGTATAATATATGCACGCGTTTATGTACGTGTATACACGAATACGTGTCGCGCTGAGGCGAGGCTTTCTCTCTCTCTCTCGACAACGCACCGATTTTACGAGAGATACATTAATGCGACATGACGCGCGTATAGCCACCGGATGTATTTTCTTTTGCCCTTCGCTCCTCTCTTACATATATTCACGTATAACTATACGGCCGTGCACTTGCCACGCTCGTTTTAATGCTGCATTTGTGCATAAGACCGTTTAACCCTCGAGTTTATACACGTATAGAAATAAATACAAGTATTACATACACCCGAGTACCACCTGTGCTACTGACGCGACCAGCGAGGACAATTAATTCATTTTACCGGCGTGCGTTTTCGCGACGACGACCACGACTCGAAGATGGTAAAAGACATCGTCGTCGCCTGCGTGCACGCATGTGCAAATTCCAATGCAGAGGGGACTTGTTGTGTACGCATGTCTCTTTTCCTTTCTCTCTTTGTCTTTTTTTCCACTCACACGCATTTACATTCAAAAATATGTTGTTGCCTAAAAGAGAACATTTTTTTTTTCAAAACAAGAATTTTCATGAGCATGAAAAATTATTATGACCTGAATACTTGCGTCTCAAAAATTTGTATCATCTATTCTTTGGTAAATATTGTTTACTAAAATTAGTTTTACACTGAGGAATAGGCTAGCATTTACATTTTTCAAGCACACCAAGAAACTGATTTGTGTAACGTATGGTTTGCGATATTTTAATACAATTTAATACAGAATATATTATACTTTGGACAGCCTACAGATTTTTAATAATAATGAGAATACTAATTCCAAGATGTGCCTTTGTACTTATCGAATCTCTTTCAATATTTTAGGGAAAGTGAGCCGCTATCAAAATCTTTTAATGAAATTGAATGTAATACAGCAGTAAATACTTTTGTCACAAAAAAGTCATTACCACAGTACCTATCACATTAGCATATTACATTACCTACAATATTAAACGTTACCCGACATAAACGTACCACTATTGAGAAACAGTTTCCAAATATATTGTTTATGACTACGTTATTTTGTAACTTCGGTTGAATAAAAATCAATAGACAATAAATTCGTCATAGCCGTGATTTCAGCCAATGTACATACAGACGCAACCTTTGGGTATGTGTACATGCATATAAACGTTTCTCAAAGCAGCACATAAGACTGGAAAAGGATTATGCATCGCAGTTATCCAGGTGGGGATCTCAAACTCTCACGGAAAAAACGCGTTTCATAGGGGGATCAACGACGTTTCGCACTTTTCCTCGGTAATGCCGAGCGAGAGTTCTCGATCCATTTAATCTTATCAACTGGCTCGAACTTTTGTCAGGAAGACTCTCCGTGCCTCTCTCGGTCTTACGCTACGTTGGTGGTGTAACGCGTGCTTTTTATCACACGGACGACCTCAAGCATATACATGTGGTGCAGGATAAAGACAGGAGAACTCATTTTACCTTTTTCTCGCGGTTCTCTCCGTAGCTCTCTTTCTCGTGCATTGATTGGGTACAATAAGTCAATCGTTTATTTTTTTTTTCAGAAATACTTGCGAAAATATGATTTTAAATAAGACTATGCGAATAATTTTTTTAATTTACAAAATCGATTAACCATAAATCATTGTTCACACACCGAAAAAAAGCTATTTTGGACTTATCATAGCATCCATTGCGGAGAAACATAACGTATAAGAATATAAAAATATTATTAGAAAGTAGTAGAGTAGAATCCCAATAGTTGAATAAGTTAGCAGTGTTATCAATAACAACAATGATTTTCGAGATGAAATAGGACATTTTCTATGAAGTCAATTCGCATTTACATAATCATTCTTTTACTAATATTCTGTTTGCTATAGTAATACACAATAAGATAAAAAAGAATTTTTAATTGATTGTTTATTGATTTGATTTACAAGATACTTCATACAATTGATTTGCTCAAGTTTATACATTGAACTGATTAAATTCGAATAATTCAACTGTTGTGTATATACTAGGTGTTAAAGCGAATAAGCTGCATTAAGATACCATAAATACTGATTTAAAAATTAAAAATAGATATTATATAGAAATTCGTTATGTTAAAATACTATAAAAAAAGTTTAATTTATATCAGTTATAGAAATTCTACTTAACAGTAGCATAGAAAAACTTCCTATTTTTAGTGATATATTGTGAATGTATAAAAAATAGGTCAATTAGATAATACGTCTCATGACAAAATCGTATGATTGGTTGGTCTAACACCAGAATACTCTACATAAAGTATTGATTCAAACAAAAATTTGGTTTGAAGTTTTTTTTCGAATAAATCTAAGGCTCTATATTTTTAAATGCAGCTGAGCTGTAAGTGTAGATAGTACCAAAGAGAATTCAAAGAAAATTTTTCAAGGATATATGGAAATAATTTGTTTTTTTATTAATTCCATACGATAATAAACTCTTTATAAATTACATCTCATATTAATTTTTACAGATACAAGAGCCCATTTCTAGATGAGTCAGACCTCAAAATCAGTTCCTTATCCTGAAAGAATTACAGAAAAATTTGAATTTAGTAATTAAAAGCAAGAAAGATATTTTGTTTCAATAAAAAAAGTCACGATATTTTTTTTTTAGAAATAACACGGGATGTACATCCACTAATTACCAATGAGGAGTTATCCATCTTTCTTTATAATCTCTTCAGTTACGATTACAATCCCTCCGAATACTATAAAATCAACTTGTACAAAAAAAACAACTGAACCGTAAGCTGTTTGTAATGTAATCGTGGAATTTCATAACTTATTTTTTTTCATCTCATTTTTTGTTTTCTTTTTCGACAGGTTTTTCTCTGTGAAGAAAGAAATTTTTGAAACCCCAAGAAACCAACACTTTTTGTCAATGTGCAATGACTATTGGGTCTTATCATCAACAGAAAAGAGTAGAATAAATAAGATGCATCTAAGACGACAGTAATTGCTTATCAACTCATTCCTCGAGAACAATCTAACGGTACTATCCACCGCGATGAACTTCCTTGCCGGCAAGGGCTTCCTCAAAAAAGACATTAACGAGTACAAAAAAAGTTTGCACAAACTATGGTTCGAACCTAACGCAAAAGCTGGCGACTATTCTGTAGTAGGCACCTCTGGATTTGAGGTCGTCTTCATCACTGAGAAAGACGATGCTCCCTACAACTGGATCCATGCATCCCAAATGGAAGAACAGAATAAAAATCTACAGCTCCAGAACCTTAAATGGAATACCGTTTTAGAGACTGCCCACGTAAGTTTTCTTTTATTCCGTCTGATTAAATTTCTTATGTAATACCAATAAAAATAATGTTTTTTTTTTAAGGGATTCAAAGTAACACTTGTTGGTTTTGACAGCATGGTTTTCGGTAGTAGAGAAATATCTGATGTATATCTCTTGGTTGGAACATCACCTGAGTTGGAGATGGCCATATACACGGTCTGCTTCTACGTAAGACCCAACTCAGACTGTTCAGTCTCTTTCGGAAAAGTTAATCTCACGATCCACATTTCCTAGAATGAATACTCTGGAAAAAGAGCGATTATTGGTCTCACTTTAAATACCATCGAGCAAACTGAATAGCAATAAAGATACTGATCGTTTATACCAGTACAACTTTTATACAATGTTGGTTTAGATGTTGCAAGCACTACTTAACAGCTAATAAAAATAGAAATAAAAAAAAAACTAATTTAGTACTGTGCAATATTTTAAGCTGATGTTTATGTCAACGACTATATACTATTAATGATAAAATATAATAAATATTGATTAGAGAATCGTGATACTGGTATCCTTATCTTGTTCCCCAGAATTTCTCCTCCTCTTCCGCCATTATTTTGCATCATCATTACTTCGCCGATAGAAAATTATATACTTTACTTTATCATTACATGGTATTTGTTTTTTGATGGAATTTTTGAGAGTGACGCGACATACAATATGTTTTTTTAATTTGTTTCCAAATTTTTTTTTGTATTTCGATGTACAAGTAATTATTTAAAAAATTTTTATAGATCTATGGTATTAACATTTTACAAAACTTATGAGCTTCATTCCAGCAAAAAGTATTAACCAATTTACTGACTAAGAAAGTGTATGGATGTGCGTTACTTCTTATATATTACAAATTTCTTAATTGTTGAGAAATTAAAAAAAAAAACTTTGGCTAATAATCAGTACTTCAACAGTTTATCAAACTTAAACGATTTTATTTAATGTTTTTATAAATATTTTGTACTCGAGTTTTCAACAATAATTTTTAAATCCAAATGAGAAAGAAAAAATACATCAGTACTTATGGCCAATCTTGCACTTGTCCTATACCGAGTGATGATTTTTTTGTGACAAAATGATGGATTTTTGAGAACGATAAAGACACATCCGAGAGCATATGAATATAAGGTCAATGAAATATAACGCCTTATCACAACAACACCTGATTGATTGGCTTCACACAAGCTCACTATCTGATATGTACTCTTTGCTAAGGTAATTGTTTTCGAGCCGTGAATTTGAACCAACGATTGAATCCAATTTGTTTAAAGATCGTTAAACAGTAATTATAATCAGTGGACATTAGAAATATCTTTTTCTTTTAGTAGTTGTTGGTATATAAATATGATGAACGTGGTTGAATTCTACAGTATAACTAATTAAACTCTCAGCGTAACAGCAATACCGAAGTCTAAAGTACGAAGAGAAAAAGATGGAAGTCTTTAGCTTTTTGATTTCGTTGCTGTTATTATCCCAACTTATTGGTAAGTCTCACGTAATAAGTATATCATATATGCTGAGAAACGGGCAAATAATTTTTGATAATGTGCCTTCATCAATTTTACTTAATTTACTATTCAAAGTATAAAAATGTTCAGTTTCTTTGAAACCATCATCAAAACTTTCACATTGTTATGCGTAGTTTCGGGAGAAATTGTAGGGTATCTCCAAATTTACTAGATGATGGTTCTTCGAACGTCGATCGTAGGACTTAAATTCCAAATGACCAATTAAATGTGCCGACATTAAAATTAAACTAAACTTGTAGGACTGTAATTGGTTCCGTTATTTTTAACGAAATTACGATTATAAACTAATTTAACTGAACAATGATTTTGTAAAAAATATCGAAGACATGATGATTTACGTATTAAACTATTAAGTTTAGTAGCATATTGGTTTAGATTGAAATTCTCGTAGCTTTTTAGAACTTTATAATACATGCTCACGAGATTATGAGGCCTGGCCTAAATCAGGGTGGCTCGCATCTCTGGGAATCTAATTTTTCATGTGCTTATTTGTAACTCTGATCCAATGGTTAGGAAGCTATGTTAAATTTAGATCCCCCCTTTAAAACGTAAAGATCCTTTTAACTTTTAGTAAAACATTGATAGCATTACTCTTAACTTAATAAGCTTGTGAAAATTCTGTTGTAGATTGTTTTCTCATGCCGCATCAGCCTGAAGCCGCTCTACTTTTAATTCCACTCTTGCAGGGGAGCCTTAATAACAGCACAAGTAAAGCAGGTTATAAATTTAGTTTTGAGCCTAAGGGAGTAAATAAAACGCGATTTTTGTAAGTATATAATAATTATTAAACATAGTCGAACCTTCTAATATCTAACTGTGTAAGTACACACGCACACGCACAAAGTAAAAACGTGACATCTATTTCGTTGATTTAATATGTATCTGTAGATATATGTATTTATGCAGTCTATTTATACCTACCACTTTAATTAGATGCTGTTATGCTTTTTTTAGAAACAACAAGTTCACCAAAATCATCTCAAATAGATAATCTAGAATCAACAGTTGTAACTTCACCTCCACGAATTACCGATGACGAATTATCTAACCTTTTAAAACAACTTTTTATTAATGATTACAATCCATTAGAGTATTACAAACTAAACTTATATAAAAAAACGAATGAATCGTAAGCTATTTTTGTCCTTTGGAATATAACCGTCGAATACCATAAAAAAAATTTTATACATCGTATTTTATATTTTACAATTGCAGATTATTTACGGTGAAGCCCGAAGTTTTCCTATTTCCAAGAAACGAGCTATTTTTGAAAATGTGCGAAAACTACAAATTAATTGAAATAAAAGTAAATAGTCACATTAGTGAGCTTTTTAACAACTTTAACGATATTTCATACGAATTTGAGCGTGAGATCTCGAATGATATGCCAAATCTTAAAATTAGATATAAAATGAATAAAAATACGAAAACCATAACTTACTCAAGGTACAGCAATCGCTCAAAGTAATATTTTTTTGGTTTGCAATTAATTTTTCACATAACATCTTATTTAATGATTTGGCATAACAATTTTAAACTTGAAACTTCACGTGACGACTTACATAAAAAATCTGTTGTTATTGTTAAAAAATAAACACGTTTACAGGAGCAAAATTATCTAGTTAACGCGTTCCTCGAAAACAATTCATCGGTTTTATCTACTGCGATGAGCTTCCTTGCCAGCAAAGGTTTCTTCAAAAATAATATTAACGAGTACAAGAAGTGTCTGCACAGCTTGTGGTTTAAGCCCAGCTGGGAAATCCATCACAATGTAAAGGGCAGCACTGGATTTGAGAACATCTTTCTCAACAATAAAAACAATGGCCCCAACAACTGGATCTACGCAGCCAAAATGGAGGAACAGAGAACTTTACAACTTCAAAATGTAAAATTTAATGTCCTTCTAGAAACTGCCTATGTAAGTTATCTGTCTGTTTTGTTTTACTTATATATAATATATATACATATATATATATATATACANATTTTCACCCTTAAAGTGATATATATATATATATTTAAAATCTTTGGAAAAATTTTATGAGCGAATCACAAAAAATATTGTTTCGTTAAATTTTTTTTAATGCAACCAGCTACCACAGAATTATAAACTGGTATATTTGACGTTTTTCAGGGATTCAAAGTAACGCTTGTAGGATTAGACAGTATAATATTTAATGGTAGACAAATATTTGATAAACAGATATTGGTCGGCACGTCACCCGAACTAGAGATGGCCTTATACACGGTCTGCTACTACGTGAGACCTAACGAGGACTGCTCAGTCTCTTTCGGACACGTTAAATTTACTATTAAGATAATTGTAGAGAAATACTGGGAAAAAGAAGCCATTGTTGCTGTCGATTCGAGTGCTGTTGATGAAGATTTATTAAAATAAAACAAGGATTCCGATCATCTATCCCAAAATGCTTTTTATATGGAAGTGATGAAAATTCTTACTGAAAAATTACTTGAGGTTATTGGGTTATTGACAAAGTTTACTTTTTAAAGTTAATGCAGAGTCATTTGAAGTTGACATGGAAAGCCTTACTTTTTATAAACTACTTACAACTTATATACGTTCCAACTTATATATGTGGCCACGGTGGTAATGGTGCTACTGTAACAAAAATTATTATTTCTATTTAGAAAATAATGTATATTATAATTGGATTCCCTTCGCTTTCAATAAATTTAATTTATAAGTATGACATAAAAAAACTTCGTCTTCACTACAACTTTCACTGTAACTGTTTTTAAAATAAAATTAGCAAGGTGTATTACATTAAGGATGCCCGCACCTTTAATAAACTTACGACCAAACGAATGCAATTTAGAAGTATGATCAATTAGACTATTAGGAATTAATGTCTGTTCTTTCGATATTGTTCATTAACTCATTTTTCGATGTATATGACGACAAACTTGGACTTTGCAACACGTCTTTTTACAAAAAAGTGTATTTATCCGTACTCATTGTAAAAAAATTGCATTAATGGAATACTACGAAAAACTAACCCAAGAAAGCTTATGATATTCTGAAAAAATTAGCATATCGAATATGATCGATCACATACTCATTAAAAAGATATTAATCAACAAATAAACAAATAGAATAATTGATCCACCTATACTAAATGTATGTAAACAAAAGTTAAATCATCATAAAATTTTGTGTAAACGGTCAAAAAGTTGTAAATAAATACTGTAGGGTTGAAAAGGAATTCTTGCTTTTTTTTTTAATGGATCTTTATCATTTGAAATTTTCAAGTGGGGGTTAGAACTTCTTACAAATGAACTATAATACTTTTAAGTTTTAATTAATAGTAGGAGAAGTAAAACGTTTTAAAACATGACCTTCAATTTTTTATAAAACTTCAGCTACCAACTTGCCTACGATTTTATATATTGGATTAGGAATTAAGGCGTACTCCTTTCAACAGAATGCTAAAAAATGACCGCTAGTCTATAATTGTATAATCAGCTGGCCTCGAAAGACTATTAAGTAGGTATAAATCCACATTAACGCAATTATTTTGTACATAAATTCAGTTCACATAGTTACATTTAATAACCAGAAAAATTTAGCTGATTGCACTCTTTTCTTTGAGAGGTAATTTTTTTCAACTTTAATTAAGAAAAAAAATGAGAGTTTTTGACTGTAGTGTTGAATATAACAAAGGCATGTTTTAAAAACGGTAGCTGAAAACTGATATCATGCGTATGATGATAAACATAATGTGATTTTAATTTATCGACCTCAATTCCTTAAATTTTCCTACTGCAATGCAAACGGTATGAAGTATTTTTGTATAATTTACTTAGAAAACTTATAGCAACCATTCAGCTGTGATCATTTAATAAATATTTTAGAAGTTAACATTGTTAGTTTTAACTTAACAAATCCAAACTGTAATAATCATTTAGTGGACTCGTAATGAAAAAATATCACTATTCAAAGTACCACTACAACTTATTTTTCAGTAAAAAATGATAACAACTTTGTAACAATGATAGAGAATGTTTTTAACCACCTCGGTGAAAAAAAGCTCATCGATACTGGGCTACAAACGCACAACAACCGTATTTTTTAGGAGCGTAAGTTGTACTTTGGGCCCGTGGTACAAGATACACTATGTTTTAGCCGAATTGTCCGTTTTTACCCAAAAATGCGATTCCATCCTTTTTGCCCCTAATATCCGGGTACCCTATCTTCAATACCACACAGCCAAGTCGATCCACTTTACTTTATGTAGGCAAATTTGTTCCTTTCATAGTGTTCGACCATATTAGTGACTTTATTACGAAATAACGAAAATGATAAGCATTAGAATGACTGAAAAGTAGGTCGATGATAAGTAGCAGTTCAATGCGAGAGTATTATTGGTTGGTGTAGCAAAAGCTTATTAGCTGATATGTAGTGATAGATGCACACGTTAAAAAGTTAACGATTTAGTTAGTGATTGTATATAAATATATGTAGGATGAATGCGGTTTAAGTCTTTAGTTTCACTAGTCGCGCTGTCATTGTACGAGCAAAAGCAAAACATACCGTACTACGAGGGAAAGATGGAAGTCTTCAGCTATTTGATTTTGTTACTTTCGTTTTCCCAAGTTATTGGTAAGTCTTACTTAATATATCTTATACAAGAATCTAAAGCGACACAATACTTTGATGAGATGACATTTTAGAAACATATCGTCTAAATAACCAAAAGTAGTAAACATTATATTATAGTCTCGATGTTGTCTACGTATAGTATTAGAAATATCGTTGTTTATGATATATAATGAACTAAATAAAGTTTCTCTATTTTATTTTTAATGTATGGATGGCAACATCGACGTTATTGTAAACATTGTATTTGTTCTATCAAATCTTTAAGTATTGCTTTAATGTTGTCTCGAGTATCGTGTAACTTATGTAGCAACGTCGACAAACTACTACAGATAACCTGCGCATCTGATTGTTTATTAAAATTAATATTTTATAATGACTCAAATACAAAACGTATAACTTTACTATATTATAATTATCAAAAATTTTACATTGTTTTACTTGTTTTGGGGTTGATTGCATATCTACCAACACAGTATAAGGTAATGATTTATTGTACGGAACCAAAGTTTTATATATTACGTAACCAAAATTTTAAGTATAAAACCATAATTATTTTTTGCGAGCAAATCTTTTAGATATTTTTTGTTCAACCACCTAACATTGAAAAAAAAATTTTTTTCCGCCCTCGGGTGGTTTTGGGAGGCTGGTACTTCCTCGGGCGAAAAAGCAGTTTTCCGGAACTCGTTCGAAAAGTCTCCTTTACGAACCTCGTTACGGACCTCGCCTTCGGCTCGGGCCGCAAACGTCTCGGTTCGCAAACAGAGACTTTTCAAACTCGTAAGAAAACTACTATTTTTACACCTAATAAATGATGCATAAAAAGCGTCAGAGATGCATATTGTATTATTTACTGTTAAAAATATTACAAGTACATTCTACAGTAAAAATTGGATGCAGCTCAAGTTTGATGGCTGAATTTTCGTTTCAATTACTGTTCAAGTAACTGAAAAATGTAATGTTACGCAAGGACATTTCGGAGCTCATTTTTTTAAATTTTCATTATTATTTGTACATAAGGATTTCATAATGCCCTCAATAAAAAACATTTTTGTTGTAGACTGTAACGTTATTCATGATACACCTAGAGATTCTCTACCAAGGCACCCATTCTTGCCAAAGCACGCCAAGCCTATACAAAAGAAACAAGGTTTAACATAAAAATAATGTATAATATAACATTTTTTTTATTTTATTTTAACACTCAATGCTTTTTTTTCTAGAAACATTAATAACTCCACAAGTTACTGACGTTGAGTTGAACGAATTTTTCCATAAACTCTTCAAACATGATTACAATCCTTATAAAGCTTACAAGATTAACTTGTATAAAAAGCTAGGGGAAAAGTAAGCTAATTTTTACCATTTAAAAAATTATCGATTAATTCTATATTAAAGTACTTTTCGTTTATTTTTTGTTTTTTTGTTATTTCCATCAAATGCAGATTCTTTGATGTGAAATCGGAAATCCTTATGACACCCAGGAACCAACTCTTTTTTTCAATTCATGAAAACTTCAAGTTACTGGAATCAAACGCTAGTAGTAATATCAGCAATCAACTTCAAATTGAGCAGAACTTGCTAATTAACATGTTCCTCGACAACACCACAGCAGCACTTTCCACTGCTATGAACTTCCTCGCAAGCAAAGGCTTCTTAAAAAATGATACCAACGAGTACAGAAGGTATCTGCACAAACTGTGGTTTGAGTCTTACTCCAGACCCAACAACTACATACCCGGAAGCACTGGATTCGAAGCCATCTTCGTTAATAACCGAAATGGTGGCCCGTGCAACTGGATCTACGTAGCTAGAATGGAGAAGCAGAAGAAAGTACAACTTCAGAACGCAACACGGATTGCTATTTTCGAAACTCGTCGTGTAAGTTGTCAATTTGCTTGATGTTATTTAATTTTGTTATGATACTGAATTGAAAAAAAAAAATTAACAATGTCAGTCCAAGTATGATAAAAATCTGTTTTTATTACGTTTACATATCAGTGTTCTGACCAAGTCATGCTAGTATTCGTACGGTAGCATAATGTATTATATTATTATATGTTTTGTAGGGACAAACAATATCAATTGTGTACTTCGGAAATCTAATGTTTAATGATTCTCAAATAAAAAATAAGTATATTTTTCTTGGCACGTCACCCGAGTTAGAGATGGCTTTGTATACAGTCTGCTTCTACGCGAGACGTAACGATGACTGCTCATTTTCTTTCGGAAATGTTAAATTTATCATTCGAATAACCGAACAAGAAAACTGCCAAAAGGAAGCCATGGTTGGTGCCGACTTGAGTATTATTGTGGAAAAAAAAGGAAATGGATACTGATCGTTCGTACCAGAACGACTTTTATACTCAGTTGGTGGGAACATTATTGCCAATATTACTTGATGTCGAACCGAAAACGAAATTCAACAAAATATGTACTTTAATGATATATAATATTTTGTTGCAAAATTATTAATGATCGTAACAACCACAACCAATTGGAAATCATACAATAAATGGAAAGTCTACCATCGTACAGCCAGTATTATCGTGTTTTTCATTTCAATTTCCCCCCTTTCTCTCTCACTTTCTTGGACTTATCGTAATGAAATGTTATACAACCCCTCAACATCACACGGGCTGAGTCGAACTTCATCATAATAAGTATATCTACATACTAAAACCTAAAAATAATGGAAATGAAATCAAAGAGATTAATCTGAAAATCACATTAGTGGTAATCGTAAGTGAATCGACATGTCAACTCGGATGGAGGGAGCACAACATGCAGCACACGTTTGAAAATGGCACTGCTGAGCACAGCGATCGATGCCATCAATTCAGGTCATAAAGGATCTTTATAGAGTCAGGGCAATCCAAATCACGATCGGGTAAGTTCTCGTCGCCGTCAACGAGTTCCCATGGACGAGTCCAGGAAACGGAGTACACGGAGACAGGCGCCTTCTTATTGTTATGGACGTGCCACGTACCTTGGTCGTGTTCCCCTTTTTCTGCGCACCACCCCCTTTTACCGATGTGTACAAAGTCACCCGTACACACACTGGGAATCGCAAACAAAAATAAAGAACGTAGAAGAGAAGAAAGAAGCCCACGGAGAGCGAGAGGTGCTCGGGCGGAATCTAATCTGATGAAGCGGCTCGGTCCACGTAATGGCCAAGCCGTGTCGTGACACGCACCTCTCTCTCTCTCTCTCTCTCTCGCGAACGCGGCGACGATCGTGTACGCCGAGAGGCCAAAGTCGTGTTTCCACGGCCCGAGAAACACCATGCGGGCCCCCAATGCGCTCAATTTACTCTCTCACTTACCCATGCCTATATATACCTACTTACCCGCGCCCTATGTGTTGGCGATCGCGTGTTATACATATTCTCACCTGATGCCTGGCGCGGATCAAGTCCGCACAACCGATCGCGATTCCCAAACTACGTATACTTTCGATCGCTTGATCCATACTCGACGATTGTGGAAAATTATTTTCACCCTTAAAGTGCATAATTCTGGACGGAAATGGTGTACTCTGTGTCACTTTTGAGATGAGCAGAGGGAACAACAGATCGGTAAATGACAACGCACATATCGTCAAGAGATACTTTCAATAAAAACAAAAACAAAAAAAGCACCACTAGACGTGGTAATACAAGTGTGAACGAAGCCTCGATCTCTAGCTGGCCGTTTGTCCTTTTTGCGCTCGAGTTCTCACCGATCATGCGAGTCCATCTGTGCGCGATACCGATGGTATACGTGTCTACCTACCCATGCGCCAACTCTCACAGCTGTCGAACGAATAAATTAAATTGGAAAGTGCGCGCTCGAGTCTCACGCGCAATGTTACTTGGTGACACTGGCTGTCTTTACACATAACGTACACGCGCATATTTATATTCGCATCCATCGCTTAGTCGATGCATTCCTACGTAGTAGCGTGTGTATATGGTACCAAAGACCGCGTTAAGGAGGAATGAAAAACAAAAATGTGATGAAAGAGAGGAAAAGGAAAAAAAAAAAAAAATTCCTAGATAGCTCCCGAGAGAGAACCGTACGGTGTAAGTGTACGTATAGACACAGGTATATAAAATACGCTCGGGGGAGAATCGAGTCCTGTAATTTGAGACGGCAAACACGAGGTGCGCCACTGCGGTCGTAGGCTGACGATCCCCCTTCGTTACTTAACGCCTCTCCGTGGGCTGACAGTCGCGCTTCTATGAAGAATTTACTCACGTATACGTGTATGGTACACCAGGAGTAAGAGGAGCTCATCACTCGGCTCTGCAGAGTGTCAACCCGAGGATAGGCTCTTCGCACGATGTCTTGTCTCTGTTGTTGTTGTTGTTGTTGTAGTTTTTTTTTTTTTTTGCGCGAAAACTCGGATTTATGGCGCGTGTACCTAACTCTCGCGAGTTATTTAGCACACGGAGAAGAGAACATTTTTCGGTGTGCACCCCAAAATTCACAGCTATAAATTGCAACGCGACTGATGGCGAGGGTGTCCTTCGTGCATCTATTGACTGAACGTGAATTATAATATTGCACGGTATTTATGGAGACCGTGAAATAAATTCAACTGGGTGCCGATCCATGTGTTTGCGCGAGTATGCGCACGTACATGTATACTTTGGGTACTCGAAACGAGCTGTAAGGTTATCCGGGGGATATACGCGTGTATAATATAATATGTATACCTGCGTATTAAAGATCGATTTACATATCGTTTACCGCGTAGCGAAGCCAAGCGTATAGTGGGTTTTTAATTGAGCCAACTGCATGGATACGTACATACATACGTTACGTATGTGTACAAAGAGAAAGTTTGTCGTTGTGTGGGTTCAACGCGTGTATCTCGAACGAATATGTGCGTACTGCGTTCCTCTGATTCTTTATTTTTAGTTTATTTCAGCTTCAATTTTTTTTTTTTTTTTTTTCTTTTTTTCTTGTTTGCAGAAAACGTGAGTCACGCGAAATTTCAACACAGTAGCAGTAATATGGTTTATACTGGTTCGGAGTAATAGAAAAACACAGCGAATTTAAAGTATTCTGATCTAGAATTGAGAAAAAATGGATACCACATCCGAGGAAATCTGAATGACTCGTTTGTTTTTGCGCAACTGTGAAAATTGCTGTGTAAATGGAAATGTAAGGAGTTTGTAAGATAGAAAGAAGGAAGAAGCCAAAAATTTGATGACAAAGGTTGCTGGGGTACTGTACCATCCGTAAAAAAAAAAAAAAAAAAAAACTAGAGAGATTTTAACTGTAGGTTGTATACAATTTGAGTAAAAATACAAAAACCTTTGAAATATATTTGTCAATGAACTATTAAAAAATTGTGTGCAATTTGCACAATTCATGGCTTAAGAAAATTAAGTAAAATCAAAAGTTTACGCTGAAGACAAAAAATCACACTGAAATGAGTCGAGACATTGGTAAAAAATATTTAAACAACGCTATTCATAGTTTTTTTATGACAAACATCTACTAAAATCCTCAAAAATAGAGGTTTTCTGTAAAATGAAACAAATTGATGGATGCTTCATATACAGTAAACAAAAAAAAAATCGGCTAGTCGCGTCAACCGGGCGTAAATACCTGTTGAAGACAAAAAAAAAAAAAAAAAAAACCCTGTTTCCCCCGACTCTTCCCGAAAAAGAAGTACGAATGAATTGAAAAGACGCAGATTCTGCAGGATACCGCAGTGCACGGCTGGTCGAGTGAACCACACGCGAGGCCACCACCACTTGGCACGAGGTATGGATCGGCAGCGAGCAAATGCAGCACAAGCGGGTGGGCGCACTTGTCGATACCCGCTATCTCTCGACCTCCTCCTCCTCCACCTATTTAGCTCCGTTTTATCCTCCGCGAGCCAGGGTAGAGACGGCGGTGATGTGTATCAACGAGAGAGAGAGAGAGAGGGGGGGGCTCCCTCTTGTCCCCTTCCTCCAGTGGAGACACAATCATCGGGGGCGCGAGCCAATTACACACACACACACACACCGTAGGCAAGTAAGTGTACGCGCTCATCCCCTGTCCCCGTCGTCTCGCGTGGCTGTGGACACACACGTGGAGACGCAGATTTATTTTCTCCCATGCGCGATCTCCTCCCCATCTGGCTGCAGGCAGCTTCTTTTCTCCCGCTCCCTATACCTATACACACTCTGCAAGCGATGCATTTGCCTTTTGCATTAAACCCGGCTCTTCTTTCGCGGAGGGAGCAGCATATATAGCAGTGCCGATTTCTCCCGATCGGCATGGGGGGAAAGGGGGCTGCTTTTCCTTTTTGCGGTCACACGAGGACTCTCCTCCTCCTTTTGCTGCGTCGTCCCCTTCGCACCACACCGTCTCCAGCGTGGCGTGCTCAGAGCTTTGTTCCCCTCCCTCCCCCCCCCTTTTTTTTTTCTTTTCTCATTCTCGTATAATCGCGTGTACTCGGCTTTGTACTTACAGCGATACGCGAACTTTGCACCGACCGCCGCCTTATATGTGTACACTCTCAGTCCAGGGGGGGGGGAGGGGAGATCGAGGCATCACGTGCGTCTCTTATCGGCGAGGAATTCCGTGGGGAACTGATTACAATAGCCTCCACATATAAATATATACTCGCTTGGTCACTGTACAGATATAAGCGATTCATGGGGTACGATAGGCGCTCGGACTTGGGTTGCGCGTGTATACCGTACCATATCGAGTGGGGGATTTTTATGTATACTTTTCGTGATTTCGAAAAAATTATCTCTAGAATTTTCGTTCGGCCCTTTTTGATTCGTTTTCCACGCAGGTGCGTTTATAATATGTGATGCGCAAAAGTAAACGTAAAAGCCATGAGACGCGAAAGACAAACAGTCGGAAGCCCCCTCAAAGCCGAGCTTATACAGCTCCCGTGTACCCCTACGGTATGTATGAACGAAAACATTCCAGCTGCACCGAGAGCGGGTAGATGGTTTCCCGGCCGCGCACAGAGACGCAGTGCAGCGAGAGTAGCAAAGGGGGGGATTTTCGGGCCGTGATGTGTCTCTGTGGGTATATAACTTTGGGACTCCTCCGCCCCTCCCCTTGGCTCGCCGTCTAGCTTCGAGGTATTTGATATTGACTTGCCTCGGAGAGGCGGCTTTGAACTCTCTCGAGCTGTACACTCCCGCGAGCGAGCGAGGAAACGAAAGAGGGAAAAACACAGCAGTAGCCGACGAAGGGGCCGAGCCAGACGCGGACGAAAGGGAGAAGGGTATACACAAGCTCGGCCCGAGGATGCTGTAGAGCTGACCCGGGCAGGTAGTGAGGGGGGGGAGCGATGCCGCGCGTTTAATTAAAAAGCTCCGTACGTGGCTCCTATGTACCTTCTCTCTCTCTCTCTCTGATATACCCGCGCGGGCTGGAGCTGTGCGCGCCCCGGTCTTGCAGCTTACTTACATATATATATACACGAGAGGAGCGACGGCGTCCAAGCAAACTTGCTCGGATTCTAATTTTTTTAATTTCGCGGCTCCTCCCTCGCTGGTCGATTGCTTCGCGCAGCTATCGGGCACTCGGTGCTCGTATATATATATTGCTTCTCGAAGCTTGGGTACGCGTTTTTTTTCCCCCCCCCCCATCCTGCCCACTCTTGGTTGCAAGTTTTGACTGCATTTTGGAAAATTATTCTTACGTAACGATAAAATAGGTACTTTTAAAATGGTAAAAATCACCTAGTAGGTTTACAATTTCTCCCATAGGCAGACCCACGTGGTAATTGAATGAATGACCTCGTGTACCACCAATGACGAGAGCAATCAGACGGTCGATTTCCCTGTGGGTATATACATGTAAATAGACGCGAGGTAGGTGGAAAATATTGCTCACGTCAACTGCAACCGGATTTATAACCACAGGCGCGTTGTTATACTCCCCTTTGTTTCCATCAGTTAACGCGCCGAGCCGCGAATCCTGTAAACGCGCACTTTCAAATTTTTCCGCTAATGCGACGATAAGCTCTGCTCTCGTTTCTTTCTTTCTCTCTTTCTTTTTTTTTTTTTTTTTTTTCTCTCGTACTGTGTATGTGTACGGCATACGCCGAAGCCTCGGTGTATAAATGCTGTACAGTTGGGTACACGGGGCGTTTCTCTACATCATTTGCACGGGAAAACAGAGAGAGAGAGAGAGAGAAAGAGCACTGCACCGCAGGATGAGAGGGCAGGTCGCGTTTTCCGCGAGAACGACGGCTACAATTATATGTACGCGTGTATTATATCCACGAGAGACTTCATTACCCGTTAGCCGGGAGCGCCTCCGTTCTTTATTTATGGACAAGCTCATTATTTCTGTGCAGGTAAGCATATGAAAAATTTCTCTCTCTCTCTCTCCTCCCTCACTTTTGCTACACTCGCTCTTGTTTTCTCGCTTCTTTTTTTTTTTTTTTTTCTTTCCAACGCCGTGCTGCTCTTTGGATCTTGTTTCGCTTGCTCTTTCGTTATTTCGTCCTCCCCCCCCCCTCCCCTTTCTGCCCAACGCGTTGCTAGCGAGTTTGACTCTTCCTCCCTGCTACTGCCCCTCTCGTTATATTTTTTCTGCGGATGATAGCAAGGATGCCCCGTAGTGATTCTTTTTTTAGGCAGACCTTGTTTACAAGTAGCAGTGATTTTTTTGTTTTTTTCTTTGCTTAGGTAGTACGCGAAATGTTTCAAACTGTTGGGATGCTCAAAGGCTTAATTTGCGCTTCGTGCGTCAATGAGTTGTTACGGGCGGGTCGGGTGAGATATACCTACTCTTCTCATAAATTTACATTTACCATCTTATACCTTAACTATTTATTTTTGTCATTTCCTGTTTTAGAATTTCCAAATTTTCATTCTATGTCTTGGACTGACGAAAAAAAAAAAAAAAAGTCACCACCACATTTTACATCCACATAGCGAGGGAAAAAGAAATATGCGCACAAAGGGAGCACTCGCGCGAAAGCCCCGAATATTCCGACCTTGGCAATACCTCATACACACCCACGCAAAAGTCGCAAAACCGTAGCCATTACAATATGCGCGTATAGTGGCTTCAGATATTACGAAAACGATGTAGCCCGACGTGTGTCGTCGCTACTTCTTCCTTCCAACTGGTGTGCTCGTATTTTCCCCTCCACCGCGTTTATATAGGGGTCGTTTATTCCGACACTTGATTCCTGAAATGCCGAGGGAGTGTCCTTTTGATCGTATGGTCGAGCGTGCCACGACGGATCATCCCCAACCGCACTGTTGGGGACAGTTTTCCCCGCAAAAGGAACCAACCGGTATACATGTGGCATTCCTTTATTTATTTTAACTGTCTAAAAGTTGGGGGGGGTGACCCAATTGCGAAGCAACTAATACTGTTTTAGTATTATCATTTATCCAGATTGTACCCACATTTCTTTGAGACAAACAATCCATAAGTGATGGGACCAAGCTAACCAAAATCACCCCGTGACTTGTGATGTGCCCCTAATCCCCGAAAATCTCAATATTCGTCTTAACAAGCCAGCACGAGGCGTGTGTACCCTCAAAGTTTCGAGCTCTCCTCGCTCGCCGAGCCGTATTACCCTTGGCTCGAGGTGCAGGGGTAGACTGTTCATATTCCGTGCAAACAAAGTGAGCAAAGACGCCAGAGGGTAAGGCACACGGAGCGACATGCGCGGGCTCAAACGAGATTATCAAGCGATTAAAAGAATTTGCTGCTGCAATTTTGTTGGTGGCTCCTTGTATAACCGGCAAAAGAGACGAAACACTCGCACAGCCCCCGAATCTTAGCGGAAGAGAATCCACGGAGGGGGTCCGACGCAAAAGATTAGCCCCGGAAGGCTCATCCTTTGTGCCCCGGTGGCCAAAGAAAACAGGGAGACTCAAAGAACCGCGATGGATACATTTTTAATTACTTGGAATATCACTTGGGTGGACGAGGGTTTGCCTTCAGAGTCATACGGAACGCCTTGATTAAATGTCGTGGTGTATACGAGCCTCCTGGCGATGTTTGGGCTTTTAAGTTAGTTATGAAAAGACGTAACGTTTGCTTTTCTGGTTGAGTCATGGTTAAAGAGAGCGAAACATCTTGGAAATCGGTAATCGGTTAACAATCCCATACTGCGAACTATTCTCAAGTTCAATAATTTAATAAGCCACAAAGAGCACTTTTTTGTTGATACAATAATCTATTTTATTAATTTTTTTTCTTACGATTATAGCCAATTGAAAGTAAATTATTTATCACTAAAACTGGTTTTTGATGGTTAAGTAATCGATCTTAATTATTTATTTCACAGATCTAACTGTGGAGGCGGCAAAGCTGACAACTCGACTCTTCACGGGCACGTGTACTTATTTTATTTTATTTACAGTAATATGGCTCTGTGACATCCATGATTGGCAATAGATAACCCAGAGATACATAAACATATACCTGTTTGTGAGCGCGTTTTGCACGATTCACCAATAATTTGCCATTGGGTGTATCGAGTGCAACGGTAACGGTGCATTTCACACACGAGAGTGAAGAAGCCGGCGCTGCCTCTCAGTGGACAATATAACCATGCGCGCTCGAAAGAGCGCACCCAATAAACCAGACGAGTAGACCAGCCGAGGGTATGGGGAGCTTCTGTTAAACAAACCAAAGCTTAATAGAGATATTTCAAGGCAAAACTCCCAGGGAGGGGGGGGGGGGATGGAGAGGCCGTAAACAATCGGAAAAACGAAAGAGGCGTCCATTGGTATATGGCACGAGTTCAGTGGTCCAGCTAAGGCGTGGGTATTGTGTTGGGGCCTTTTTTTTAATACAAAGGTAAATCAATGCAAGGTGGCCGTGTCCGCGCGTAGGTACAATGCAGCGTGTCCCGCGGAAGGGTAACGCGCGAGCAAAGGGGTGGGGGAGGGGAGGCCCTATTAGAGCGTATAGGCACGAATTTATCTCTCTATAACGGATAATACAATCGTAAAGTTCGAAGGAGGGAGAATGGGAGAGCCTCGCGAGAACCATGCCCGCATTGACGGCGAGCCCGGTATCGTTAACCCGGCGTTCCACAATCCCGGAAGCCGAGCGGGGGGAGGCTCTTTCTTCGTATTGTAGTCGGCCGGCGGGACGAGGTATAAGGTGTACCTGCTACCAACGTATACCTGGGTATGCGCGAGCCAACAAGGTTATCGACGATCGTTTCCTGGCTCGGGTGGCTGTTCTGGCGCACCGGCAAAGATCGACACACCGAGTCCGACCAAAGTCGCTCGACGCAGGCTGTTCATCCAAACCTCACCAGAGTCACTCTGGTCCATCTGGAAAATCTGTATCAATTGTTACACTCTCTTCGTTTTACATAATTCCAATGAAGGGCAGGGAGGGGGGAAATATGTTTTCCTCGGTAAATAGTTCTCACTCGCGTGCACATCCGTGTGCATTGCTATTTTAAATATAATATAACAACGGCGGTTTGGAACCCATGCCCTGGAGGTGGTGGGGCATAAAGTACGTGGATACATATCGAGGGTGTTGATTTTACTCGCGTTAAGATATTGGAATACACGCGCACGGAAAGGAGGGAGAGAGAGAGAGACCCTTGTCTCGGGGTCACACTTGTATGCGAGATTTCAAAATTTTCGCTCCTGCATTGTATGTAGCGCTTCCCCCCTCTTGCATTCAAACTATTTTATCACTTTGCGCGAGGATTCTATTGTACAATATGCCCCTTGTTTTTAAATATTTCATGCGCCGAGGTGATTCTGTGAATCGTACAACAGCCGCGGGATCAATCCTCAACTATAATCGCTTGGAATTTTTACGTTTCATTGCCGCCAAGCGATGTATGATAACGCAACGCATTGTATCTTGTTTGTCGTGAGATTTGCCGACCTCGTTTTTTTTTCTTATCGGATGGCAACGAAATCGCTTACGTAATCCCGGTTAGTAGTATCTTGATAAAAAAAATTCACGACATAACTACGCGGAATCGACAGAAGAAGAAAAAAGAATGCCTTAGTATCGTTCCAACCTCTTGGGTCCCACGATCAAGTGTATAAACATGACACCATCGAATCTGCTAGTACTATTTCTCGTGTATTATTTAGTATGTAGTGGTGCTTTTGCAGTGAATAACAATGAAGTGGAACTTGATGCTTCGGAAAAATCTGAAGCCGAAGATGTAGGGAAACCACTGATTCTGTCGCATTACCTGGACAATGGACAATTGAAGGAAGGAAGGGAGAAGGCACTCGTCGAGCACAGAGAAATACCAGGCATCGAGAGTTACAGTGGGTACTTCACGGTCAACAAAGAATACAATGCCAATTTGTTTTTTTGGTATTGCCCAGCAGAGGTAATCTTATAATGATTAATTTCAAAAGTACAGGTCCCTCGTAAGCTTTGAAGTTAACATGATGATGTTTTATGTATGATTTGTTTATCGAAGAACAACCGGGAAAGTGCTCCGATAGTATTGTGGATGACGGGTGGTCCGGGCTCGACGTCTATGCTCGGGCTTTTCGCTGAAAATGGCCCGTTCACTGTCACTGCAAACCAAACCGTCGAAATGAGGAAGCACTCGTGGACGCGCAACCACCACATGCTCTACCTCGACAGTCCTGTGGACGCTGGCTACAGTTTCACGGAGAGTGACAAGGGCTTCGCAACGACATCGGACGATGTTGCACGTGACGCGCTCGCATTTTTAACACAGTTTTTCCAGTTGTTCCCCGAACTTAGGAGCAACGAACTCTACGTCGTTGGGGAATCGTTGGCTGGAAAGTTTGCGCCTCCGATAGCTCACGCCATCAAAGTACACAACGAAAATGCGGAGGTGCGGATAAACGTGCAAGGTCTCATTATCGCAGGTGGTGTGTGCGATCTAGTTAACCAAGTGAAGCACGTTCAGTACATTTACGAATTGGGCCTCATCGGCGAGGACGATAGGAGAGAATTGCAAGCGTTGGAAGACAAACTCGTCGGTTTGTTGAAACAGAAGAAGGTGTTCCAGTCCATTGCTCTGATGAACAAAGTAAACAAGATGATGGACAACATTACTGGTTACAGTTACTACTTCCATTCGATGAGGCCCACAGAGCCAGACTACATCAACCCGTTCGTCCACTGGGTGGTGAGGCCTGACGTGCGCAAAGCCATACACGTCGGCAACGTCACGTTCGAGAGAACATCAGTGCAGGTGAAAAAGCACATTGGCAGGGATATGCTGCACTCCGTGGCAAATTATGTCGAGGAAGCTCTTGCCGATGGCAAAAAGGTCCTCGTTTACGTTGGCCAATTGGACATGATGGTCACCAATGCTGCCATGGAAAATTACATTTCAAAGCTTAAATGGCCCGGAGCCGAAAGTTACAAGACGACCAAAAGAAAGATATACTACGTCGGGGACGAGTTGGCCGGGTATGTTAGATCAGGTGTCAACTTGACGGCAGTACTCATGAGAAATTCCGGTCACATGCTACCGAACGACCAACCCGTGTTGGCCTTTGATATGATTACGAGATTCACGCACAATCTGGGATATTGATGTCAAGTAGTTTCACACTTCTCGTCTCTGTATTATTATTATTATTATTATTATACGTCATTAAATTGATCACGATATCGATGCATCCATGTTAATAAATCTAATATAATTTCATATAAATCCGTAAAGTAATTTTTTTGTTGATTCCTACACATAGTTTGAGAATTTAAATTAACAACAAAGTTTATTGGAAAATTGGTAAACTGATTTAAAATATATTTCATGTAAATAAATGTTTCTTTAATCCTATAGCTGGAAAAACATCGCGCGATAGTTACGTCTTTAGAATTTCCACGAGATAACCATTCATTGCTTGTTGATTTGACCGACATTGATAAGAATTATCTGGAGACATGACGTCACGATGTATTCATAGTAATTTTCAAGATTATTCGCGCTATGACACCTAAAGTATAAGCCGTGATGCTTCGTGCGAATGAAAACAAGGTGAGACGAGTTTTTGGTTTTGTCTAGTAAGTAAACTAAAAATTCAATTGCCCCATATTCAAGACTTGTGCACTCAAGCCACGACAAATAGTCACACATGAATGATTACATTATACTTGTACTCTATTGTTCTACAATTGTTTTTTTCACGGTAAAGTAAAACGTGCGCATTATGCGAATGTGTGGATTGAAGCTTGTGCAAATGCACGACGATGTAAAGGGAGAAAGTAAATCATCATGTATTAAAGCTCATAGCAGCTTTTGAACAGTTAGCAGAAAAGCTCGAGGGAAAGCTTTGTCCCTTGCTCTTGTTAAGTGCAGCGTAGAGCTTTGCAATCACTGTATCATGATGATAGTGCCTTTTGCAGTACGCGTGCATGGAAAATGAAAATTCCTCTGATACTGCTATTCAATGGCAAAAAAGAAGTATAAAAATAATTTTTTTTTTTTTTTTCTCCAATAACGTTTACTCGAGTCTCCGAATTTAAGAGATTTCAGTTTTGCATCACATTAGAGTTGAAAAATAAATTCATTTTTAACCAGAACAATACATGAGCACGATCTTGGGACTGATAATTTTCTTAAAGCACAATAGCAAGTTTGGTACGAGAACCTAGATAAAATAGCCTCAGCAATTTAAAAAAAAATTGTTTCGTGTCCATCCTCTGTGCATATACTGCGACTTTAAGCCGAACGGATTGATTTTTTACTCATAAAAACTTGATCATCTGTAACGAGACATTTGGACGCAAGATTGACATTAAAAATCACTTGCGTTTCTTTACGCGTATACGTTAACGTACAAAAAAGGATACAAGAAAGGAAAAGCAATTGGCACGTGCACAAATCAATTTCGGCAAACTCTCAAAGTAATAACGACGAGCACAAACGTCTCAAGCGAGCTGGAAGCGCCTCGAGGATTAATTATAAACAAAATTTACGGCTCATCAGCTTCGGCCACCTCCAGCACCCAACAAATTGAAAATCTTTGGCGTGCAGCCTCAAAGCGGCCTCCCGTGCACTCGTTGCGGAAGCAACGTACAACTTTGAGCCAATAGCTTTTCCGTCACCGACATCCACGCACGAAAAGCTCCGGCACAAAAGTCGGGCTCTCTCGGCATGATCCCCGCAAATCGTTAGCATCAAATGCACACACCTTTGCACGGCCACTCCGAGCGAGGCGTGGCTCCTCCGATACACCGCGTGCACCTGACAGCGTGAGTTAGCGCACCCGAGAACAAAGTCGCGCGTACAGCGTCCTCGCGGGTATAAGTACATCCGCGTGGCGCGTGTTAAAGCCTTGGAAAACTAATAGGAGCGTCGGCCTCCCTTTATACGCCGTTCCTTGCCGACCGGCCCGAGACATTGCTCGCATACCTGTGTACCCTCGCCCGCCTCCCCCCCCCCCATCCCTCGATCTATACATATTATAACGCATGGGCGCTTATGTCTCGCGCAATGATTAACCTCGTCCATTTATCTGCTATGGCCGCTTGGCTTTTTTTTTATCACCCTCCCTTCGCTTCCACTCCTGTCTGGCGCTCTGTGCGTTTCTTCCCGTTTTTTCTACGCGTTTCCGCCTGCCTTCTTTTCTTATTTGCTCTTGGACGCTATAGGTACAATTGCGTGGACGCGATCTGTTTTGTTGGTAGGGGAAAAAAAAAAAAGAGTGCATGAAAGTTGCCGGTAAGGGTGTATTATTGGACGATCACGCTGGTTGCGGGCATCGAGTTGATTTGTTCGTTTTACTTGTGAAAATCGGGCTTGGGAAAAAAAAGACTTTGATGCGTGTGAGGCGCAATCGGATACGCTGCTTTTTTTTTCAATGAAAGCGGGGACATGACGGCTGTGTATTTTCTCCTCCAAGTTTAAAATTTTGCTTTACCAAGTTTACTTTTACAGTGTAGACTTAATATAGATAATGATTAATGAATTGCCACGTTTGGTTAGAATAAATGTACGCATAATAAAAAGGAAGGAAATCCTTGTCTCGTCGCACTCGTCATTCCCGTTATGCAAGATCTCCACCGTTGGACAAACCATAGCCCCGCCCCCCCTCTCGTCCCAATTTACGAAACTAGAGTCGAAAAATAATAATCGGTGCGAGCTCGCGCTTTTCCTCGCGGTGATTTCGCGATAACCCACACACGTGGGGAAACAGAGTCTTCTTTCGCAACGTTTGCTTTTTCCATTTCACGAGAGAGCTATGTACAAGTAACGCGAGGCTCTCGCTCGCGTGCTCGTCTGACATTACGAGGCGCACGGCGTTATTGTCTACCTACCGAGGTGACGCGAATCGCCGGAAAAATTTTCACGTAACGAGCTCCGCAAAGAGCCGCTGGTGCACTCCATAACGCGCATTTATAATGAGAGACACGATACCTTGTACTTTGAGTTGTGTGTATGCAATATGTGTGTGTGTGCCGGTTCGCCTCTGTCATGGGCTTTAATTAGTTCGCGTTCGCGCCTTGTTGCGTTTCAAATTATTACATATACATACCTACCTATTATGCGCACGGACCCCTGTTGGATTCATAAAACAACGTTGGCTCGTCTTCGCGTGGAATTCAGTTTCTTTTCTTGTCTTTCCTTACTCCTCTTTTTTTTTTTTTTTTCTCATTCTAGAAACAAAATAACTCATAAACTTTTTTTTTTTTTTTTTTTTTTTTTTTCAACCAGAATTTATTTGAAATACAGCTCAACTAAAAAAATTTACAATGGACTTTTAACAAAACTCCATATATTTTTCAACTTGGCTTTAGAATGGATCCAGGACAATGATAGGTGTACCTTACAATCGGTCAATGTTCGCGCCTTTACACAAAATTTTTTTTTAAACATTGAAGAAGTTGCTGTTGGGGAACATTTGTTTTGTTGCAAAATTTTATACGAGAGAGTCTTAAGGATCGAGGAGAATACAATAAATTGTTGTTACAAATGAAAGGCATACGTTAACCAATACTCGTAGTATATTGATTTGAAAAAAAAAAAAAAAAAAAAAACCATACGGTGACAAGTTAACTTTGAATTTTATGTAAAGTACAGAGGTTAATTACAAAATATTATATCCTCCTATTAGGTTGTGTTAAACGTGGATATCACTTATCAAGCACCCTTCACCTGGAATTTATGAAATTTACACATTGTACTGTACTGAAGATTAACCCCCAAAAGAATAATTTTAATACCTGCATGTACAATAACCCAAAACAACAACAAAAAAAAACGATTCATTTACCTAGACAAGGTACTTGTCTCGTGGCTGACCAAATTTTCGTTAACCAGCAAAACACGCGTACATAAGCACATAATATCACGTAGCAAAAGCAGCATCAAAAAGACGAGCATACAAAGGTACGAGCACCCACTAGCACCCTTAACATGGATCATATACATGCCCATTTCACAAAAGCTGTACCAATGTGCATTTGCCGGCAGCGGTAGCTCAACCCGCGCAAACACGGTGCCAGTGATACATAAAGAGACTTTTCAGGGAAAATTTCTCATTTTACTTGCACCGAGGCAGAACCAAAGCGGCATCAGCAGCACATCGGGGCTATTTGACATGGGTCCGCGGCGAGAAACAATTCGCCCCTTGCATTCCCCGTATTCCGCGGTCGCTTTGATTCGCCGTATGAATCCGCGCCTCTCCTCCTCCTCCTGCTCTATTACTACCATACATACACGTGTACCTATATATACATATGATCCTACCATACGCGCACTACTGTCAGTATTTCAACTATTTATGCGGGATTAGAGCTCTCTCTCTCTCTCTCTGCCGTTGGATATATTTTCCGCGCAGCCGTTTCGTTTGCAGAGGCGAGTGAAAAGTGCTTGCACATAGCGTGCACGGAGAGCGCGAAAGAGCACCGGATAAATGTTGGCCGGCGCGTGTATACATATACATACGGAGTGGCGTAATGTCATTTTCACTGGTTTATACCCCCGATGCGTATAATATGCCTGCGTGCGCGCATGTGTTTAGCGCGAGCCGACCTGGTGATGGTTGAAAAGGAAGGATGGGTGCATTTGCGCGCCGGTGGAGGGTTTGTTCTCGAATGAATAACGAAGCGATTCGCGTTACAAATTAAATTGTCGGGGTTATCCCCCGCGCGCAGTGTATATGTGTATGCACACGGGAGATGGGTGTACGAGTTTAGTTGCGCAACGCGTTTGCGCGAGTAATTTCAGGAGGTGGATAACGATTACGCGATGTGTTATAAAATTGTTTGAAAAATCGGCAGCTCACCCATCGAATTAATTTACGAGCAAAAGAGCCCAGTGTGTGCTCGATGGTACAATGTATGAAACGATGCCGCGGAAAAGCGCAGTCCTTGCACGAGTTGATTATCAAGAGCCGTTGGCTCTATTCTGTTAAAAATGAGCTGTATACTCGTATGGCAATTTGACGATAAAAGTTTAATGGAAAAACTTTGCAGGTTTTTCTAATTTTTTCAACTTTTCCTTCTGCCAAATGAATTTTCAGTTGGCCACGATTTGTCCTTTTACCATTCCTCATATCACAAAAAAACGTAAGAGTAGCTTCAAAG